TGTTGAGCTTGACGCTTGGAGCCGCAGGTAATTTTAAAAATTTGATTTCCTCTTGTTTTTTTGTATATTGAGTCAGATTCGCTAGTAAAGCTTAATATTTGTGAATTCTGTCCGCGAATGTCTGAAAATGTCACGATAGCATTTTTACTCAACTGTTGTGGCTGTCTCAATGCTGTGATTTTTTCTTATGTAAATAGACCTGACCTCAGAATGATGATATCATTGTTATTGCTGGTGTATTGGATATACATACAAGGGGCGTTCCAAAGTAAACCGGACTTAAAAAAAAAAACATAACAAATGGTTTTTTCGGCAAAAATCAATTTATTTTATTTAAAATAGTCTTCTTCTGCTTCAATACAACTTTTTTCACGGTTCAAAAGCATGTTGAACCGGAGTTTTAGCGCGTTGGCCGGTTCAAAGCTTTTGAATGACACCTACGTCTGCATATCGCTTTCCTTTCATGGGCAAATGACTTTTTTCCGTAAAAGAATACGGGAAGTGTTTAATGGTTAAAATGTGATTTTTGGTCAAATAATCGTCCTTCGAACGTTGTATTCTGAGCAATTTTTGGTCGTCGGTCTACAAAACCGTGCACACACCTTTCGTAAGCCCAAATTTTTAGTAAAAATGTGATAAATCGATGTGTTGGAGATGTTAAATTCTATTTCCATGAATTTCAGTGGTGATTGATGGCTGATCTTTGATGAATTCATGCACAGTTTTGATGGAATGTTGATCGGCATTTATCTCCTCACAACAAATCTGAAAACCTTGAAACTACTTTTGCACTCGTGCAATCTGCTACGAGACAGGCAATCATTGCCATAAATTTGTTTCGTCAATTGAAACGTTTCGTTAAAAGTTTTACCAATTTTAAAACAAAATTTAATGTTGACTCTTTGTACGAAGCTCAATTTCGCATCGATAATACAAACAAACTGACACTTTAAACGCAATAACTTTACTTCTAATCGATGAAATGTCATTCTCACTGTCGCTAAAAGTTATTCTTTATTCTTTATTAATAAAAAATTATTTTTGAATGGGAAGGCAAAACTAATGCATTTGAAAGGTATTTAAAGTCATTCAGACATTTTAAACAACTTTCTGACAATTTGTGAATATCGTGCTAATAGAAATGTTCGTCTTTTGAAGCAAACCAATCAGACACGCAGACCTCCTTACTTGTTTATTGATAATAATATTTTACTCGGCATTATGAAAAACGTTATTGTTGTTGTAACTATTAATGCGTCGCAAGAGATAGCTCATAAAACTTTCATATCCGGAAAACCAATATTTTGATTTGTGTTGGAATAAGTAGGTACGTGTGGAATTGGTCAAAGCCACAAAAGGAGTTTAAATGTATATATATATTGCCTTTAATGTTAACAAGAGCATATTTGGAAATTTATAAAATAAATTATTCAACTAACCGAGACATTAATGGTTGCATTGGAGCGCCATCCTTTGACCATTAACTGTGGCTTGTCCCAAAAGTTTACAGAATTCATACGATGAAATTTGAAAGTAGTGTTGTAATTTTTGTGTTTTATAATAACTGTAAGGTAAATATCAGAGTGAAAGCGAGAAACGATGCTATAAGATGGCGCTACTTCTAGCCATAAACCGCTGCATGTGCCTTCTTGTGTAAATCGCTCAAAGTTTTCATAGTGATAGCGAACACCAAAGCGACTTTCGGCGTTGTCAAAAGGACAAAGCGATTTTAGTGGTTTATCGCTTGAAATATTTTTGCTACATAATGAATTTATGAAGAAACTCTTTGTAAAGTATGGATACGCACAGACGAAATTTCTGTTTTAATCAATCTACCATTCGAAAACAACAAACAAACATTTATATTGCTGTTTTCGAATGATCACCCATTGGTTTCAACCTGCAGTGTTGGGCAAATTAGGTAGGTAGAAGGCATTTCATGGTCTGGGAATGCGACTTTGTAGCAATACTGTTTATACAACTGCCTACGCTTAGATCTCGCTCTTGGCTCTTCTCGTTTTTTGTTAAGCATGGCTAACATAAATTTTCCATAAGAGAAATAATCTGTGTAAGAACAACACAGAGGTAAAAAAGATAAGCCAGTTAATAAATAGAGAATGTGTCGGCTACAAGCAACACTTGATAGCTTTAGTCAAAGCATTGCAACACTGGAAAGTAGTAAAATCTTTATCCCCCTTGATTAAGTGGATGTTTATAACACTAACAGAGAACTCGATTGCTTTGCTCTTGGATAGTGAAGAACGTTTTAGCGAACTAATTTCCAAAGGTAAATAAAGCAGTAAATCTAATATCCTACTATGCTATTTGTGAAATACTTTTGGTCTTACTATCGCATGGGAGTGTACGAGCATATTGTCCTACTACTACTACTACCTTTGATTACTGTTATATTCCACTACGCGCTTTTTCTCCCCACGTGCTTCTATTAGCGTGCTTTTGGCGAGTTCGGACATTTAGTGGCCTGTCGGCAGTCTTCTTACTCGAAGTCACATCGCATCATCTTGGACACGCAATAATGGGATAAAAATCGGCTAAGCCGAGGCGCGTGCACTCTCGAATGAAGTATGTGAGTTTATATTTGTGTGTAATATTGAGCTTGAGTTACAAAACAATATTCATTTGCTCCACATATAATTGAAGAACATATCAGCGGTATCGCTGTTTTAGTGGGGCCTTGATTCATAAATAAGCAAACTTGTCCAAAGTATTAAGCACCGTAAATATATGATCGTTGGATTTAAGACTTATTTGCATCAAATGTTAGTTCAAGAAGAATTCGCAAAACTTCCTCAAAGGACTACTGTCGACAATATCAACAAACTACACAAACACTCAAATCTCGTTGTTCAGAAGTTCGAATGTCCTTTACAAAAAGCGGAATTTCCTAAAAAAAAAGCTCGATTTGTAACGTTCGATTTATATGGCAGTTATTTGACACATAAACTGGTCTGATCAAGAAAGATCTATTTCCATACTAAATTTCGTGAAGACATCTCGTCAAATAAAAAAAAAAGATTTTTCAGAGAAGACCTTAATTTTGATCCTTCAAGTTGTAATATAGCCATATACAATCGTGGTCCAATCTTAACAATTTCTCGAAAAATGCACCAATGCTTTTTTAGGCACAATTTCGAAAAGTTATCTCGTAACATGAAAAAGTTTTCCTTATAAGAATTTGCTTCTGAGCGTTTAGTTTGTATGGAAACTATACTCCAAATTGAACGCCCTTATTTAGTTACATACCCACTCAACCAGAGCCATGTTAGGCTTCTTCGTCAAACATATAGTAATTTTCTTTAAAAATCCATTCATAGAATGCCGTACGCCCTTGATGGTCGTTCGGTTTCATTTCTTGGACGAATTGGGTTGTGTATGCCGCGGCAAACTTAGTTCCTTCGACAAGATCTTCCATAGAGTTGTATATGATGGTTGATGAACTTCTTCGGACCTTTTTGGATATTTTGCTTCACAGCAATGGCGCCTCTGATGATGTTATATTGAAATCAGTAAAGTCCTCACTTCAGTTTCGCCCTATAAATTGAAAAGACGATGAGCTTCTGTTTGTTCCTTAATTTTCTTCTTTTCATACGTATAATTATTTATGTATAATACTTTAAGCTTAAGCTTTGATATTACTTTAACTTTATGTCATTTATTATTATAAATGAAATTTCGCATTTAAAAATATAAATTTTCTCCTTCCAAAACAACAGTACGGGAAAATTCATTTCCTGCTGGGTGCATATGTATATACAGAGGCACTCACATATTCACATATAGCAAGTTGTGTGAAGTCACGCCTGTTGACTCATTGGCGACCATTAGCTGCCACAAATTGTGTCATTTGTTCTTTGTAGCGCCAATAAGGCTGGGCAACGTTTTTAGTAATTGACTACAACAGAATGTCCAATACCAAATCGTCGATATTTATAACAATAAGTAAAGCGCACATAAGCTTAACTTGTTTTTATTTTGTTGTTCTTGCAATTTAGAAGCAATTACTTGGAATTTATTGAACAATTGGGTTAAATTTGAACATATTTGCGAGCATAAATATGCCAAAATCGCAGTTGCGCCTACACGAGTCAATTTGAGTTTAGCGCAAAAAGTTTTACTTCACTCCAAATGTTCGCTATCCAAACGATAAAGCGTAAGGCTTTCGTGCGACTGATTAACACAATTGGCGCCCACTTGATTTAAGTAGTTATTTATACTAATGCTTCCATGCATATTAGAGTTCCTTTACATTCTCGGGCACGTCTTACGCTAGCACTTATTTACAAGCGCATGTGATAACATCTGTACACAAGTTCAAAACCGGCATTTGATTCATAAATTTTTCAACAGATATCATGCGGCTGACTACCGGATAATCTGTTCAATCTGGGAGATTTCTTAAAGGATCAGTAGGGTAATCTGGCCTGTTTTTTGAAAAAGTTTTTTTTTCATAGAAAGTTTTATTCTACAATACAACTTTTTTCACATATCATGAGGTATGTTGTGGAGTATATAAATAAACTTTTTCGGAATTTTTTGATGACACCTGTCGGAGAAATAGCTGAGTGAACAAGATCACTGGCGGACACGATTTCTCATGTTTGGTGGTTCATGCAAAAATGTTGATAAATACAAAAGTAATCAACCTAACGTATTTTTTTTTTTTTTTTTTTTTTTTTTTTTTTTTTTTTTTTTTTTTTTTTTTTTTTTTTTTTTTGTTGTGGGTCTCTGCTTTTTTACATATACTTTACGAAATTGATACACACCCACCAACTGTTAACTCAAGCAGTTCGTTGGCAGGCACATAAACTTTATATTATATTTCAGTACTCTGGTAACTTTAATGCTGTGCTTATTGATATTATAAATAAATTTGATGTTAAAACCAAATAACTAAAAAATCATTTATTTAATTTTTTCTATATTACATTTAAAAATTGGCCATAATTTAACTTTGAATTTCATTATATTTTTTGTTGCAGCTCGCGCTAACATAAACCTTCAATTACCAATCCAATCCACCAGCATACTTGTGATATTTAAGTGGTTGCAACTAGTTTTCAATGCAACATACTATTTGAGTTCATGAAAGGGAGACGGTACACGAAACTAACGCAGTTGCCAAGCAATTGAAAACGCTACAGACTCAGAGGCAAGTGAGAGATGTGCTCAGGAAGAGACGTTGAGTAGTGTTATATCCTTTTAGAAAACACAACCACAAAAAGCATCGAAACAAAACTGAAGAAATAGATTCATACCTAAGTGTATACAAAAATTTTGGCAGCGCGTTTTAGTGAAAATACGGAACATACGCTTGAAATCAACTCGAAACGCACATACTTATACAGAATAAAACTGAATAAAATACACTAATGGAGCGCTCAAAACGGGACTTTTTAGTAAAAAGAAAGCTGTGGCTGTACCAGAACTACCAACTCGCAATTGCGGGATTCAGTGAAGAGTGCTTGATACTAGAAATGAACAAAATTTCGAAGTGCCATAGTCAGTTATGAAGTAACAAAACTTTTGCAGATATAAATAAAAAATTTATTATTCAGCGAATTGATTCAAAATGTTATATTTGTTCACGAGTGATTATTAAAATAATCTGGAGGGTTGTGAATACCTTTGAGTGCTTTTTAATCATTCATACTTTGCGGAAAAATCTTACTATAAAGTAATAAAAGGATGCAGCAAGAGATTACTGATAGAATTAATGCAATTTAATACTTTACCGTTGAATAATAATTAAAAACAAAGAATAAAGAGTATGTTATTAAAATGCTTGGTTAAAAGTAGTAAACAACTAAATAAAAAATTAAAATAAAATTAAACCCTTTACAAATGTAAATTGCTAAAAGTAGTCTCAAACGCTCCAAAAAAGCAGCTGTATAAGCTATTAAATAAAGTTGCAATTTTTTTGTTGTTAAATATATAAAAGCAAATGAAAAACTATACAAAATAAGCAGCAACAATTTGAAGCACGTTTTTGATTGAATACTGTACCCTAAGTTAAGGCCGGTGTATTGTGATATTTTCAAGCTTTACTTGTATGCAAAAAATTGAAGTTTTGTAAAAATTGCAAAAACTAAAGGAGCTTTAAATCATATTTACAAAGAACGGAAAAAATATTAATAATTAAAAAAGACAACTGAAAGCGAAACGAAGAAAAAAGGTTAAAGCCTGGCGTTTCACCGAATATATTGCTAAGACCGAAGATGGTGCCGATGCACTGGAAGAAATTAAAAGTTTGATTTGAATTTAAAATTATTTCAGCAGCTTGTTTATAATATTTAAACACTAAAAAACTAACTTAGTTGTAGCATAGTTTGTAAATACTTTGGTGCAAGTGCTTTTTGGTCCAACGACTAATAGTACATCGATTTGAAATTTATATAATTTTTTCTTGCATAATTTCCTTCAGCAGTTACTTTTGTTGTAGTAACTTTGACTGACTTAAAATAATCATAACTTAAAATTAGCAACACTAACTGCTTAGTACGAGCGCGGCACGTTCTATTCGACATAACTACATCGTTTTAAATTCGAATACATTCGAGTACCCAGTGCGCTTGCGGCCCCGCTTCTTATCGCAGACCGATGACTGAACTCAATGCGACGCACGAATTCGACCCGCACATTTTTCATGCACTAAAGTCATCTCGACGCATACAGGATCTGCTACGCCAAGAGCCCGCTTTGCTACCGCCCGCTGATGTTGTTGTGGATAGTTCGACGCATGATTACGATGCGGCGCCGATCAATTTACAAGATTTCATACAGAGTGTGTCGGACAGCAACGTCTTCGTTGAGTATATTGCACCCACAGATTCCACAATATACTCACTCGGCAAGAGCGCTGCGGACGACGGCACACTCTTTCCCCAGTTGACAGAGAATTTCACCTTCCACAATTTCTACAGCAACCAGTCGAATGGCACACATTGTAAAGATGTCTATCATCCGGATGACGATACCCGTCTAGAGTTTTGGGTTTGTGGCGTTGTATTGAATATTGTCGGCATATTCGGTATTATTGGCAATATCATCTCCATGATTATACTGTCACGTCCACAAATGCGTTCCAGCATAAATTATTTGCTCATTGGCTTGGCACGTTGTGATACGACTTTGATCATCACATCCATGTTGCTCTTTGGCATTCCCTGTGTCTATCCATATTCGGGCTATTTCTTCTATTATTACAACTATATTTATCCATTTATATCACCATCGATCTTCCCCATTGGCCTGACGGCGCAAACGGCTAGCATATACATGACGTTCACAGTGACTTTGGAGCGTTATGTGGCCGTTTGTCATCCGCTCAAGTCACGTGCGCTTTGTACTTATGGGCGCGCCAAAATCTACTTCATTATTTGTTGTACACTATCGTTGCTGTACAACCTGCCACGCTTCTGGGAAGTTATGACGGTGAGTTACCAGCCTGAGGGTAGTGAGATAGTGTATCATTGCTTACGACCGTCGCCTTTACGACAAAATCAAACATACATCAATATCTACATACATTGGTGTTATCTGATTATCAATTATATAATACCATTCCTCACGTTAGCCATACTCAATTGCCTGATCTATCGGAAAGTGAAGCGGGCGAATCGCGAACGCCAACGATTATCGCGCTCCGAGAAGCGTGAAATTGGCTTAGCGACTATGCTGATCTTCATCGTAATCGTGTTTTTCCTCTTAAACTTTCTTGCGCTTGTCGTAAATATCGATGAGGCTTTCTATAATAAAATCGATCACTCCCTAACGAAAATCTCCAACTTGCTGGTGACGATCAATAGTAGCGCGAATTTCTTAATTTACGTCATTTTCGGTGAGAAGTTCAAACGTATTTTCTTATTGATTTTTTTCAAGCGCCGCCTCAGCCGCGACCAACCCGATCTTATTCACTACGAGAGTTCTATATCGAACAACGGTGACGGTACAATAAATCATCGTTCATCGGGCCGTTTTTCACGACACGGTACGCAGCGAAGTACAACAGGCACGTACCTGGTTACCGGCGGCGGCTCGAACAACAGTACTTTGAAGAATGTGCGTTTGGTGCAGACCGGTTCGCCCGGTGTGGTGAAGATCAAACGCAATCGGGCGCCGTCGCCTGGACCGGTCGTGTACTACCCGGCACGCGACAGTCAACGTACAACTGTTGTGACGCCGGTGGCGTTAGCGTCGAACAACAACACGGCACTAAGCTGTGATTGGATTGACGCCAAGAATGGACAAATGACTTCGGGCATCTGAATCAATGCAGATATTTCAGATACGGTTGGAGGCGGCGAGTGTGTATTTGTAGTGAAAGGGTATAGCTGTAAACGAGTTTTAGTTGTTCACGTATGGTTTGTTTAATTGTCATCCCCTTGACATATACCAACTGATATATAATATTAATCAAGCGGTGTTATTACGACAATAATACTATATAATTACTTTTGCAAGATTCTTTTAAAACCACCGATTCCTTTCTTTTAAATGGTAGTACAAGTCAGTTAGCTTCTGTAGTCTCAGCCTCTGCGTATTTGCGACTTCGATCTGGAATTTTGCACACATATTTTGCTTCTCAAGAAACTGCTCATGCGTGTCGTGACGAGTAGTCATCGTTTAATATGCCTGCGCTTGACGCGAATTTTTACAGACTCTGTGGCCTCACATACGATAGTTCCTCCAGTGAGTCATACCGTTGGGATCTCAGATGTTTACAACATAATCTTGCCAAGTGAACCAGAGATGCTCCGTTTTCTCTATGATGCGTTGCTCTAGACATATCCTGCAGTCTGCTCGACCAATGAGTCCCATTTTGTGGGCATGTGGCGCCACCAGTCAGTGACTAGTTAGTATTCCGTTCAAATTCCTACAGTCTCTTTAGTTGAGTGCAAATAAAAATTTTGTGTACTTCCGATCTATCGTTTTGCACATAACTTTTGCAGTTTTGAACCCAGTTATCTCGTTCCATCGGATTATGATTTTATTTTCATTGCGTCTGTCGATGTATGTATGTATATAGATGTGAAATGCTTACATTTTCAGCAACAACCAACTGTTAATTACCTGACGAATTTATCCAAGCTAACCGTGTATCAATAGCGCTCGCCAAGCGCGCACATTTGCATATGTGTTGTACACACGTCGCCACACAAACCTTACCACTATAACGTTTTAAAAAATTTTTTTGGTCTTTTCCGTTCTTTCGGGATTTTTTCTATATTTGGTTTTTTGAAATATAGTGTGAATGAAATTAAATTAGAAAAATATAATTTTTCAACGCATTCAGGCTCTTACATTACGAGCTCATTTTTACAAAACTCACTAACGTTCTAATGTCCCATAGTTGAATGTGTTTTGACTTTAATTTTTAATATTTTTGATAAATAACATGTTATTAACTTATTTCCAAAAAAAAAAAAAAATTCTATACCGCAAAAAGCACCGCTATAAAGTGTTGTATGCACTACATTTGAAAATTTTTAGTGGTAAGGTTTGCGTGGCCACGTGTGTAAATGCAATGCGCTCATGCGTAATACAACCTATTTACAGTTAAACAGTTTCATGCATTATGCACACTTTCGCTACCCTTGAATTTATAAATGTATAAATATGTATGTATGTTTTTAACTGTATCTATGTAAAGGAAACAAAAATTTGTAAAATATTAGCCCAAAATCTTAGCCGTAAAACTTAGTATAAATGAGCTAGTTAATTATTTAAATAGTTAAATTTCCAAATATGAAATAATTTTCTGAAAACACACCTTTAAATTTACATGTGTAAATATATTAAAATATAAAGGACAAATTCTAAGCTAAGTAACCGAATACCAAAATGTTCATGTAACTATTTGAATTTAATTCAAGCGATATATTTATGTGTATATATTGTTACGCTGATAATATTTAATACAAAAAAATTATTAAGAATCAAATAATAATAAATAATTGGCTAACTAACTATATACTATTTACAAAATACAAGGTCACGCCACTCGAACTGCAAATAAATGTCATGTACACCAGTAACGTAAATGGTGTTTTTTTAGACATGTGGCTTTCAAGAAAAAATAAAACGCATTACATTTAATATTACAAAAACGAAACTTAATTTTGATAATAAATATGCACGGCTTACAAACGCTGTACCGGAGTAAGTCTGTGCATAATGCAATGGCCATTTTGGAACGATAGAATTGCTCGCTCTTTGGTCGAATAGAATTACAACACAGCTGAAATTTAAATCCGCAGTTGCCACATAATAGGGGTATTCGCTGGCTCTTGCAAGATTGCAGATTGCAAAAATACTACGCCGAAATATACAAGGGCACGAGAGCACCCATTGCGGAATCTAGTGATATATAAGGTTGTCAAAAAAGTCTTGCGGTAGTTGGCGCTGAGAGCGCGTAGTTCTAGTTTTATTCATCGCATCGGGTCATGCTATACCTTTTTGGAAAGCTCATTTCACGCGCTAACACGCGTTTGATTGATTGTCATTTCTTTTAAGTCGTTCATGAGTTATAGCGTCGCAAACATGGAGCAAAATAAATAGAAAATACGGCATATTTTACAGTACTACTACGATAAAGGCAAAAATGCATCTCAAGCCGCCAATAAAATGTGTGCAGTTTATGGACCCGATACAGTTTCCATTTCCACCGCACAACGATGGTTTCAACGTTTTCGTTCTGGTGTAGAGGTGGTCGAAGATGCGCCACGCTCCCGAAGGCCTGTCGTCGAAAATTGCGATAAAATCGCTGAATTGATCGAAAGAGACCGGCATAGTAGCAGCCGTAGCATCGGTCAAGAGCTGGGCATGAGTCATCAAACCGTTATAAAATAAATAAAAAATACCGCAAGAATTTTTTGACAACCTATTATGAACGGGTGATTCGATCAATTTATTGTGAATGACTATTATGCATGCCTATTGTGAATTTGCGCTCCTTCTGCATACATTTTTAACAAAACAAGTAACAAGTCTTTATAATTTATGTAGAAATTATAAAATCTATTTAAAACTTACCTTCCTCAACAATTTAGCGACGTAATATGTCTTTATGTAAAATGACAGCTAAAACAGGGTTGCAATTATATTTTTGCGCGATATTTTCACATTCAATATCTGCGTGTGTTTGTGCCGGTGCACCAAGAGGAAATATATGCAATTCTTCCACCGTACTAGGGTTTGGCAAGAGCAAGCGAACACCTCTAATGTATTTTGGTACTAATTATAGCATTAATTGTTTGGAATAATTAAAGGATACAAATAAATCAAAATCAGAAAGTTTCAAATCATTTCAACGGAATATTTATTATACACTAGGCTGAAACGTGCTTTTATGTTTTTGATTTTTTATATCATATTTTTGCAACAATTAGAATGGAGAACCATTTACATCACAATATTGCGAATGGCATGGCCTTGTATTTAATGGACATTGTTAAACACAGAATCTTTCAGAAATTTTGAAATCAAACAATAAAACCTATTTTAAATAAACCAAAGTGTGTACTTTATTTAATAATCGCAATTTGAGGTGAGTATTACACTAAACGAAAGTCGAAATAATTATCAAACTCAACTGGAAAATGCATATCGGCAAACGAATGAACAAAAAAGCTTATTTTTCATATTACATGTGCAAGAGCATACTCAACAACCCGTTACTGGAGTCTAAACATACGCTCACGATAAAAAAAAAACGATAAATATTATGAAACCTTTTCATTTGCTTAACTATTAAAGTAGTCTTATTGAGGATTGTTCAAATTTGATCGTCCGTTTTTTACTTGGTCAAATTAAATTTAACACATACAGGGTTTATCCGGAAAGTAATAGGACTGAGTCAATTTAAAAGAATTTATTGAACCAATGGTTAGAATTTTGTAAAAACTTTCAAAATAAGCTCCTTCTGCATCGATGCAGCGCAGCCAGCGCTATTTGCCAGCATTAAAGGGATCACGGATTCTCCCGAATAGCCTTGAGAGCCGAGGTGCATGCTATTTGGATCCCCTCTGTTGTCTCAAAATGCTTGCCTTTCATCAGCTTTTTCAGGCAAGGAAACAAAAAAAAGTTCGGGGGGCACATCTGTGCTGTAGGGCGGCTGCGGAAGCGTTAGGATGTCAACCTTGGTTAGGGAGCTGTTCACAAGAAAGTAGCTCAGTCTTGAGCCACTCACAAAACCACGACGTACGAAAATGTTTGTTCTGACTATACAGGTGTTCGGAGACAACCAGCCGCTCGTTCGCTAGCTAGGAACGCCCTCTACCGAATCCAGTTTTAAATATTCTCTTAACTTCCAAAAAAAAATCCAGTTAATTGGTGTTTTTTAATCAACAGAATTTCCTTCAGCGGTGATTGATAACTGATTATAGAAACCCTCTGACTGCTCAAAACTGCCTGACGTACTCATTCAGTTCGTATCATTAGAGTGCTGGTAAATTGGAACAACTTCACTTTACGGTCATTCAAAATTATTTTGTGAACTTTTTGATGTTTTCGTCGGTAACAATCTTTTTTGGTCATTTACTGGTTTCAACACTTTCGGTGTTCATTTCAATATGTCTAAACTTAGCATACCTGTCATTGATGATTGTTTTCTTGGGGCAATATCCGGAAACTTGTCATGAAACCAAGTTTTTGCTTCAACTGCAATTTGTTCTTCTGCTTCAAAAAGCAATATTTTATCAACATTCGAAATTCTTTTTTATGGTGTTTTTCACAACATTCTTCACTCTAAATTATACAATTCACAAACCTATGATCCGACAGCTGTCCAGTTTTCACCTAAATCATATGCATTTAATTTTAGTACCGTCGTATACGTGTAAGAGCTTTTTAATTTACCTTTCTATTCTCGCTGTCACATTCGAGTACTAAACACTTAAAGCAAGAAGTTATTTACCCGTGTTTCGATAAGGTCATCTTACTTTTACTATACAGCTTATCAAGTCGTCAATTTAAGGATCTATTTAAGTATAGAAAGGTTGAGAAAACTTATCTTTGTGTGTCTTTAATAGCTTCACTCAGGATGAGTTTATAACTTTTGACAATTTAATATGCGAAAATGGTAAGCAACAATTAACTATTCTCACACTTTAATATATGTATTTGCAATATATGTATTTGCAAATATACATATAAATTGATAAATTAAGTATATATATGGGATTAGGGAGTTCCATTTTTTTTATTTTTTTATTTTTTTTTATTTTTATTTTTATTTTTTATTTTTTTGTGTTCTTTTTATGCAAACCCGCCTTAAAGCTTCAGTGTTTACCCTACAAACCAAGATCCGACAAGAATAAGTGTTTTATTTCAGTTTAAATATGAAATTATATTTATTATATTTATTTTCATTTTCCCTCGGCACTTTTTGATTTTGTATTAAGCAAGTAAATATATAACTTGAAAATTAATGACACTCATTCAAAAAATTTTTCGATTTACACAAACGATATTTTATTCCTTTAAATGTTATTCAAATTCAAATTCAAATTTATTTCACTTCTTCTTATATTACATGTATTTACAATGACTAATATATATAAATTAAGAGTACAGGCGATTTTACCTTTTCTACTTAAAAATAATTTCAGAATGAGCTATGATATATTACGATTAATAATAAAGTTTTTGTAGGGGAAAAAAATTACAAAAAACCTTTGAAGAATATTGTCTTAACGTACTTATTTCTACTTTATAACTAAAAACATATTTTACAACAGTTAATTAATTAAGTCATTAATATGAGAGTACGTGGAATGCTCATAGCAATCCTTATACCTTCTATTTAGTCGGGACATTCTATCTGCGACTAATTCAACATTAGCTCTGTCGTGTAATTCCGAGGTAGAAAAATGCCATGGTAGGTTGAAAATTATTTTTAATATTTTATTTAGGGCCACTTGAAGTTTGTAGATATGTTAGTTCGCGATATCGGCCCATACTGGTGCCCCATAAAAAACTACAGCCTAGAAAATAGACCAGAATAGAAAAAAATAGATACATTTTGTTGGTTATACTAAGTTCTGATCTTCTGTTTATAAATGGGTATAACGACCGAATTAGTTTTTTTAATGATGTAATGTATGTGGTCTTTAAAGGTCTAGGTTTAGGGTCTAGTATCAGTCCTAAATATCTAAAAGACTGTTAGACATCGAGAGAGTTAAATGAAATATGACTTGTTAGGCTTCCTAGTGAAAAAAATTGCTTGAGTCTTACCAGTATTAACCAGTATTTTCCATTTGTTAAAATAAGAGACAATTATATTAAAGTCCCCTTGGAGTGAATTTATGATATCAGCTGCAATGAAGCCTGAGCTGAGTATTGTGGTGTCGTTCGCGAAAATAGAAGCTTTGCTCTTACTTAGAGGTGAAAAATCCGAAATAAAAATGTTATACCACAATGGAGACAGACA